CAGGACAACCATATTCGGCTTGTCCATTTGAGAAATCGCTTCCAAACGGCAAGTTTGACTGCACGGATAATCCCTGGGTTGCTACCAATAAGCCCGAGAACTGTACGGAACTGATTGCGTGAACGAGCTATCTGTCCGCGACGAATAAATAACAAATAAATTGTCCCTGAAAACCTTGTTGTTCTAGGTCATACACATTTATTTTTGTAACACATTTTAGGCATGCACATGCAGTTTCTTTTTTCCGCTAGTATATATCTGTTGAGCAAAATGACAAATTATATCAAGAAAAGGTTCGAAACATTTTAGTTCCATTTTATGTTCGTTGTTACTTCGTTTAAGATTTTTGGAAGCAAACTGAACATTAATGCCAGGTAAAAATTTTAGCAAAAATATAAAATGCATATAAAGAATAAATGCGGGTAATAAAGCAATATCACACATGCGTTCATTTGATGTCTCAGATTGCACTCGTTTATTGTGCTAAATCATCCACAATATATATTCACGGGCACAACAAAGCTGGGTGGCTCCTGATATCAGATGAATATGCTCCTGTTGTATTTTTTTTATTCATTACATATTTATACATACAATATTGTTTGTACATGCACAGTTTAGGTCCTATGTTTTGTATTATACATACAATAGACAATTGTATATGATCACAATAGATCACGAGATTCCAGTATTACAAAAACAAGATGAGCAGAATCAAGTGCTGAAAAATAACTGTATTCTGTTTATGTGGAGGGACACCAAACCAAATCATCAGTCACAACCTATTTCAACTTTTATAAATATCGATCTATTCCAGAGAATTCTATTATCGGAAACACATTTTGCAAACAATGTGACAGAAAAGAATCAAAAAGTGCATTCTATTAATTGATATCTCTGTCTTTTATATTTGCATCAATTTTCAACAATCAATATCACGACAATGTATTACTATACATACATTTGTCATCATCAACAATATCAAACAAAAATTGATTTTAATTTCTCATCAGTAAAGGTGTATTTTAGATAAAAATATAAAATAATTCATTTTGTTGGACGGACTTGCTTGTAGTAACAAATAGAAATACAAAAGCAAGCATATTATAGCAATTTCACACCTAAAGCTGAACTACAACAGAAAGGACATCAAATCACAGCTCATCACTCGGCCGCAATTTAAAAAGGAACATTAACATCAAATTAAAAGTACATTTTCCTTCACAGTATACACAGTCATGTAGTCGAGACATACAAACCATTATCTTATATCTAAATTAACTCCAGAAATGTAATCCTTTAACTTGAAGATCTGTATAGCACTTTATAATGATGGCATTTTACATTGAAAGGTTTGAAAGTTGTTTTCCTCACATTAAACTTTATTGACAGTCACTCTTGATGGGCTTTGTAATTCACTTCAGAATAGGACATTTACTTACTTATATATAATTGGTTTTTATTTACTACCTACTTGGAATTTAAAACCCTTGGCAAGGGGGGCGTGTGTTTTATCTACTTGGGCTATAGTGTATACTAGACTATCGCTATCTACTTGGGCTATAGTGTATAGACTTGGGCTATAGTGTATAGACTTGGGCTATAGTGTATAGACTATCGCTATAGTGTATAGACTTGGGCTATAGTGTATAGACTATCGCTAAGAAGCTTAAGGACTGATTGTGATGACTTTAGATAATTGATTGGTAACGTCTTTGGTAGTTCAGCTATGGATACAATAATTAACATGAACACATTCTTACATGTACCATAATACACCAGTTATTACCCAGTTAGAACTAGTCTGTATAACAAATGCCACCATTATCTATAGAAGTAGTATCTGGGTAAACATACCATGCACCAGTTGCCATAACTTAACTATGTATGGTTTCAGCATGTAAAAGAAAACAAGATATATCAGAGGGATCTTGCCAACAAATTTTAAATCTCAAAATTCCTGTCAGCTAACAAGAATCATTTAAGGAAGATGGACGGCGGATGGATGATGGACCACAGCCGAAGAGCGATTTCAAAAACCAAATATTTTGTTATCGCTTAGAAATATAACAATGTTCATGTTTTTACGTAAGTACAGACAGGATTTACAATTACAAAACAAACATCTTAGCACCAAAACAACCAGCATAGGCATTTATATTGTTTTTGTTTCCGTCTTGCGTAGCTAACAATTAATAGCCAAAAAGAGTATAGAGTACTTCAGAATGTATGTCGTTGCTATGACTTTCAGCGAAATGTCTTCGAGGTTTCAAAGTGCAAATCTCACTTTGAATCAAAGTTACTAGATAGCAGCAAACACAAAAAAACATTTTTGGGCGGAAAGTGGTACATGTAATAAAAAAACACAAATGGTGCATCACAAACATAATATCTTCAAGATATGTATTAACATTGAAACTCCATAAATCACAGAAATGTTTAACAGCATGTTGCACAGTCGGATTGGTTTAGTGGTTAACACTCTGGCCTTCCAAGCGAGCGGCCGGGGTTCGATCCCCTAAGTGGTCGTACACATAGAATACTAAGAGAAAGTGTTTTTCTCCTGCCCACACAACTCCAACAACCCAGGTGGAGTATAAATTGGTATGGGGTCGATGTTGTGGTATCTGTGCTGTAGCCTTCAAGTGAGTTGGCATTATAAATGATGCCGTTGGAAGCACGGTCCCATTACAAACAGAACACAATACATCTCCAGCACAGATGCAGGCATACTTCAAAAATTGTATTAATTAATGTATATGCTTCAAAAATTGTATTAATTAATGTATATGCTTATTGTATGAATTGTATATCTATGTTCTGTAAAGCACTTTAGAGTGGCTTATGTTAGCTAGATAGGGGGCTATTCCGTCTTTTCGTATTGCAGAGTTAGGTCATTTGTTTGTGAGAGTAACGTCATCAAATTTTGAGAAAACGACGTAACTTTTCTCACATAAACTAATGACGTAACAATCGATACCTGCTCACAAGAGCAGGTAACTTTGGGAGCAGGTAATTCTGCAATACGAAAAGACGGAATATCAAATGTTGTATATCATTAATATTATGAATCTACAAAAGCACAGGTGATTCCTTTACAGCATGATATACATTACCAGCTGGTTGTCCGCAAAGTGATAAGACCTGCTCCAGAAACCAGTGTACTTATTGTTGAAATCTCATTTGATACAAAATATTACTTGTCATCTAAATTCATTGACCTCGTACTTATTAAATACAAGAGGCCCCATGGGCCTGCATCGCTCACCTGATATAAATGTAACAGAGCACGTGAAATTTAAACAAATATTTCACTGCCTCCGCTGAGGATCGAACCCGGGACCTCTGGCTTACTAGTCTAACGCTCAACCGATCCAGCTAAAGAGAAGATCTCTATAGCCGAGCGGTATATTGCAGCTAGTATTTACCAGGGTTACATACTCCCCCTCCAGGGAAGAACTCGTCCTCGAGCTTCCAGGGGTCACGGTCATAGCCATTCCTTCGCAAGTATAGCTAGCGCTGAGTATTTTGTCAATTCACCCGGGTCCCTAAGTGGGCGCCAATGTAACAGAGCACGTGAATTTAAACAAATATTTCACTGCCTCCGCTGAGGATCGAACCCGGGACCTCTGGCTTCCTAGTCTCACGCTCAACCGATCCAGCTAAAGAGAAGATCTCTATAGCCGAGCGGTATATTGCAGCTAGTATTTCCCAGGGTTACATAAATGTCACACTTGTAACCTTAAAAGTGATCTAAAATAAAGCTACAGGCAAAATATCAGTATTTATGATTAAAATTCATTCAAAAGAACCTGTTATTATTTTTTTTTTAAACATTTCACCCCTGTGATTGAAAGTCGAACAAAGTCATTATGTTGAATTTTATAGCCTTTCATCTCAGGAAGCAACTTGCAAAGTATCAACATCCTGGGACCCATGGTTATTCAGAATAGGTCGTTTAAAGATTTTAAACAAATTTGACCCCTGTGACCTTGAATATAAGACAAAGTCATTCACTTTAACAAACATAGGAGTCCTTGATCCCAGCATGCTACTGACTAAATATCAACATCCTGAGCCTTTTGGTTATTCAGAACAAGTTGTTTAAATATTTTGAACATATTTGCTCCTTGTGACCTTGAATATGATTCAAGGTCATCCATTTAAACAAACTTGGTAGCACTTGATCCTAGTATGCTACTGACTAAATATCATCACCCTGGGCATTTTGGTTATTCAGAATAAGTTATTTAATGTTTTTCACATATTTGACCCCTGTGACCTTAGATATAGGTGAAGGTCATTCATTTGAACAAACTTGATAGCCCTTTACCCCAGCATGCTACTGGCCAAATATCATCACCCTGGGCATTTTGGTTATTCAGAAGAAGTTGTTTAAAAAAAATTAACATATTTGACCCCTGTGACCTTGAATATGGGTAGAGGTCATTTATTTGAACAAACTTTGTAGCCCTTCATCTCAGCATGCTACTGGCCAAATATCATCACCCTGGGCATTTTGGTTATTCAGAAGAAGTTGTTTAAAAAAAATTAACATACTTGACCCCTGTGACCTTGAATATGGGTAGAGGTCATTTATTTTAACAAACTTTGTAGCCCTTCATCTCAGCATGCTACTGGCCAAATATCATCACCCTAGGCATTTTGGTTATTCAGAAGAAGTTGTTTAAAAGTTTTTTTTAAGACAATTGACCCCTGTGACCTTGATTATAATTGAAGGTCATTCATTTGAACAAAATTGGTAGCCCTTCACCCAAGCATGCTACTGGCCAAATATCATCTCCCTGTGCAGTTTGGTTATCGAGAAGAAGATGTTAAAAGTTTTTAACATATTTGACCCCAGTGACCTTGAAAATGGATGAAGGTCATTAATTTTAACAAACTTTGTAGCCCCTTATCCCAGTTTGCTTCTGGTCAAATATCATCACCCTAGGCCTTTCGGTTATTAAGAAGAAGTCGTTTAAAGTAAAATATTGACGACGGGCGCCGCGCCACAGCATAAGCTCACTTGGCACTTTGTGCCAGGTGAGCTAATAACCATTAAACAGACAGTAAGATAATGCAAATAATATAACTTATATCAGTAACAAAATTTGAAATAATAAAAAGTGTCTTTTATCTTCAAATTTACACTTAAACACAATAAATGTTTTATTTATTTTCTTGCAATCAATTTATACAACAAATTTTTCTAACATATGAATCACAAAATTAGAAATCACAACTCTATTGAATCAGAGAAATATATATATAAAAATCTAGTGTACATATGAAATGACACAGAAAAAGTATCAGAATATCTTTAGCACACAAAGACGAAAAAATCAAAACAAAAGTACATGTAGATGTTTAAAGTTAAAAAATCAGAAATATAAAAGGTCCTTTTCAGTTTCTGTACATCAATGGACTTATTTCTCCTTTCTTATATCAATTGACTTTGTACATGTATTTCCAGCTTGTCACATATTTGTAAAAATTGGAATAAACATCCAAAAATAACCACAAATGCAAATGTCCACGCTTGACAGGCTTTTTTGACAATGTCACAGATTCGATCCTGACATAAAAATATCTTCACATGACCTTTGTATGACTGTATACGATTCATCACGAAAAAAAACCCCCACCCACTCAGCATTCAGAACAAATTAATACAACCTTGTACTTAAAGAACGCTGGAACAGGTGAGAAAGGATACTGACACTACACCACTGTGTCCATCTTGTATGGTTTAGTGCTGTCTGGTACAGTTAAGTAAAGTAGGATATGTCAGCTGTATGACACAGTGCTAAATTTGATGTCAGAATAAACCTCATTAAAGTGGGTTAAAGTGTAGAAAAAGTTCAAACACTTATTATTTTTTGCACACAATGCCTGCCAGTCAAAAAGGAATACCCAAGAATGATTATGACACAGTATAAATATCCACATTTGCCCAAAGTTTTCATAAGGAAGCAGATTTTAAAAATAACACTACAAAGATGTAACATGTGTGTCATACAAATTGTTGTACTATGGCAAAGTGTCTGTTCAGTTATGCGGACAAACAGATAAATCCTGGCCAATCTATTTTTGTAAATGTTCATACATACCTTGAAAGTTTTGTCAAGGCTCGTCAGAAAGATCACTAGCTTTGTCCCTATTTCATGAAGGAACAACTCTGGTCCAACAGGTCAAACAATAAATCTGACAGAAACAGCCACTAAGTCGATCATGTAGAGATAAGGATATTTATCGTAAAGATATATGCTATGTTAATGTGATATGCTTTCTGTTTCTAGAAGAATTTTTAATATATATCAATACAATTGTTATAGAGTACTTGATCAATGTGTTATCAATCCATTATAGAGTACTTGATCAATGTGTTATCAATCCATTAAGTATTTAAGTCCAAACTTTCATTCACAAAAAGGGTATTTTCAAGTTCCTCATTTGATTATCTAAATGTATCTTTAAAGCAGATATCTATAACACATGCAGCTGTTGTTTAAAAAAAGTTACCAAACTCCAGCATAGCTGTGGTACAATGATTTAACATGTTGTTTAACAAAATGTTACCAGACTCCCTGCATTGATCAGCCGTAGAATGATGAAACATTAGCACCATATCAATAGGAATGTGTTGTGACAACTAAAGGCTTATCGTGATCATCACGCTTCACAACATTTGTTTATACCTTTCTTTTTCTTCCTTTCATATAAATTGTCCTTCTCCACTCCTGGAAATGAAGGTAAACATGAAAATAATGCTGTGTAAATTTCATTATGGTAAAGAAAGTTTATGCAATATTGAACACAAATTGAAAGTAAAACCGAAGGTCTTCAATATAATTTTATCCTGCTGTTATTTTACTTTCATAAACATGGTGTATTTTACAGCATTTTTTGTAGAGAATGTGTCAGATATATGATAGTATGTACATCCTAACCATGCATAAAACACAATAAAATCAAATACAGGAAATTACTTCCCTACTCTTCTCTTAGTAAGTGTAAAGGGCAGACTTCAACATTTAAAATACTACAGATAGTAAAGGTGTTATTTTAGCAAAAATTATTTAAATATCGTACCGAAGAACTAATATTTCAGGAAATTTGGGACCGTTTTTGCTTTTTGATAAAACATCAAGAAATTGTGTTTAATACATTTACAGTTGTCTATAGACTTGTTATTTGTTAAAATCATTGTCAGACAAATTACTTACATATGAAGTCATTCTCAGACAAATTACTTACGTATGAAATCATTGTCAGACAAACTACTTGCGTATGAAATCATTGTCAGACAAATTACTTACGTATGAAATCGTTGTCAGACAAATTACTTACGTATGAAGTCATTGTCAGACAAATTACTTACGTATGAAATCATTGTCAGACAAATTACTTACATATGAAATCATTGTCAGACAAATTACTTACATATGAAATCATTGTCAGACAAATTATTTGCGTATGAAATCATTGTCAGACAAACTACTTACGTATGAAATCATTGTCAGACAAATTACTTAGGTATGAAATCGTTGTCAGACAAATTACTTACGTATAAAGTCATTGCCAATCTGTTTGGATGGCTGTGAATTGTCGGTGTCAACCTCCCTCAAGACAGCTGCTTCAAATGTCAGAGATACTGCCCGGAAGAAGAAGTCCTTCACATTCTCACCTGAAAAGAGTATATATATCATAATTGGTGAAAGTAACCAGGTATTTACCGACTGTATTTGGAGAGGAAGGAGAGTTAACAGAAGACATGTCAACCAATATCTGCAAATACCATAATTTGAACTTCTGGTGTAATTATCATAATAAAATAAATGTGCAAATATGTGTGTAAAAGCATGAATACTCAAATTATCTAGATTTTCAGAGCTTGGATTACTCCGGTTTTGTCTAATGTCTGGTTTAACCATAACATTTAAGTCTGAGGTTTCAGCTGTATATATACCTGTTTTAGAGGAGACTGCCCAGTACTCGGCCCCAAGACTATTGGCAATGTCTGCTGCCCGCCTCTCCACAGCTTCATACCCAGCATCAGGCTGAAATACAATACCAATACTGTAATAATATATTACACTTATCCTGAAATACAATGTTATCTGAATACTTTTGAAAAACGATGTAAAGATTTAACACAAAATTGCACCCTTTCTTGTCCAACCAAATCACTTGTATAAACATTTTACGACATTTAATTTAACCTATTGTAATCCATTGAGATTTGTTTATCGTTAACTTAATCCTGTATTAATGCAATCAGAACAGTATCTGGTCACGTTTCATATAAAGTTGACAGGAAGCATGGAAACCTACCATGATGTCTTTTTTGCAGCCCACCAGCAGCTTCACTGGTTCACTAGCACTCTCAGAGGCATCATGCATCCACTTAGCAGCATTGGACAGGGACATCTCGTCAGACAGGTCAAACACTACCACCACCACTGTAACAAAGGGGACATCAGATTTACTACACGGAAGGATCAATAGATCCTGTTATGGCTGACAGTAACACAATACCAAACCACATATCTTTTTAAACACTTCAATATTTTCTCTTGTTTTGTGATCATAGAGATGCATCCATGTGGTTTTTTCTAAAAAAATATTTCTTGTATCGACTTTTAAATCCAAAACTACCTCCTCTAATTAGAAATTGATATTATTGATTTCATCATTTTGTTAGACAGTATCAAAGAGAAATACAAGATCTCATGTCAGAGCCAACATCAGGCTAGATAAAACTGTGATTCTGAAGTAATTGTGAAAGTGGGCACTGTAAGTAGGCTTGGGGCGTCTAATTAGATAGGACAAAAATATGTAAGTGTCAAACTTAACATTTACTCAAACATAACAGAATACAAATAAATGATGTACATGCAGTGTTTACCATTAGCCCCTCGGTAGTAAGAGGCAGCGATACACTTGAATCTTTCCTGGCCTGCTGTGTCCCATCTGTAATGGTAAGACACATAGTAATAATATACATATATATATATGTGTGTGGGTGTGTGTGTGTGTGTAAGGAAAAGGCATATAACACAGTAACTCTATAACTAGAATAATTGCCCTATGGGGACTTTAATAGTCCTAAATTATATCCTGTTCTGATAATTCCCGCTTTGAGGACAGCTGATCTGCCCTGGTTTTGCCAAAAAAGGTGATTTGAGCCCTTGGTTATATTTGAGATCATGTGATAATAATTTTGACATTTGACGTTTTGGAGGTACAGGTAATATGTTATAGTCAGCACTACAAATCTTACATCTGCAGAGTGAAGGGTATGGAGAGGATGCTGAATTTTTCTACTTCAAAGTCCACTCCAATGGTAGCTTTGTAATCTCTATCAAACACATCATGACAGAACCTGAAACGAAAAGAAGAATAGATAAAAAAAAGCCAATACACATTGAAAATTTCATAAAAACAAAAATGAGAAAATTTGATATTAGCCAAAGAAATTAGACATACCGTATTACATTTAGCTGAGTAGTCCCTTGAAAATAAAAAAAGTTACACACTGTCTTCTGTTTCTCTATACTAAACTGTTGATAAGACTAATGAGACTACTAGCATCAGAGTTTATATAGAAACCATCTGACTAGACTAACAATGTTTGCCTTGTTTCTCTTTACCAACCTATTTACTAAACTAACAATTTTTCATGAATTTAAGTTTCGCTATACTTACCTATTGACCAGACTTGTTTTTCCCACAGAAACATCACCAACAAGGACAGCTTTACAAATCTTCAATCTACATGAAAACATTGTAGAAATACATCAAATGTGTGTGTGGTATCGGTAAAACATTTCTTAAAAAAATAATTACTAGGAAGAGCAGGCGTATTTACTGATACTAACCTGGGGTTAACCATGGAGTTTGCACAAACTTTATCGATACAATTATGTTGGTCCACCAAAATCTAAGTCAAAGCGACCTACCTACATAAAATACAAACAGGGCAAATATAGACAGACTAGTTATGTTATGAAAGTTATAATAATGTGGAACGTATAGTTGAATAGTGTCTGGTAGTTACAGGTTTACAGATTAAACACAGATAGAAGATCTCAAACAGGCCACCATTACATACGCCTTTTATGTAACAAACTTATGAATTTGAGATTGTTTTTATCACATACTCAATTTTTGTTTGTTTGTTTGTGTTTAACGGCCTATCGACGGCTGTGGTCATTTAGGGCCATGGTGATTTTTTTTATTTTTTTATTTTTTTTAACAAACATGTGAGTAGCGAAGATAAAATCAGATAAAAAGGTTAATTTTTAAAAGCATTCACATTGTATCTGTAAATAATCAAAATAAAAAGGGAGTTAAAATAATAAAAGAGATAACGAATAGGTGATATGGACTATGTGATATATATAACGTCAAAAACGTCAAGATGGGTTAAAAGACATCAGAGTCTATAGAATAGACCGATGTCTTTCAAATATTTAAATAATGCCTTCAAGTCCAGGGAACTGAAATAGTTTTCATATCCGGGACTCGAAAGTAGTTATCATGAATGTGTTTAAAATTGGAACATTCTATTAAAAAATGTTCCACTGTAAATGGAGTGTCACATGCGTTGCATTAAGGTGGATCTCCTCGTTTTAAAAGGTACGAATGAGTAGGATATGTGTTCCCAGTACAGAGTTTGAAATCTGTATATGGTAGTTTGATATTTGTTTGTTGGAGATTTAATGCATTTTTTATCACATACTCAAACAAAGCATGTTAAATGCATATTTTGTGATCATATACACAGGAAAAACCAACAGAATACACCACCAGTTTTGCAACTGTTACAGATCTGTGACATCTTCTATCTTTCCTTATGACATCACAATAGGTGATACATGTAGTAAGCATTTTATATATTACAAGCCATTCAGATCGATATGTCTTGCCTGTACCCCACTTTGACAGTCAATGCACATATCAGAGAATCTAACTTAAACGCAAAAACTTAATGTTGATGGATATGCTGATGAAGTCAATGGACCATGAAAGGTAGGCCGTATCCAGCATTTGATGCATTGGTTGAGATGTACTACCTAAGATGGTCCAAGCTTGGTTGGTCTAGCACTTATAATTAAGGTTTTAGTAAAACTAAGTTAAACACACAAACTTAATGTTGAACCCAAAGCCGCCAGAAAAGCAACACCTTAGTCTTGCTTTCGCTATTTCGACGCAGCGAGACAAAAACTATATGTGATGTTTATAACTGATGCTATTACACTGTATAAAAGCTTGTGTATATGATCAGATTTCACTGCAGGTTCCTGTAACCACTGAATTCCACTTCATTACTAGCATACACACTTAACATCAATTTTATATATCATCTGTCTTTACTGTTTTTCTGTTAGTAAATATGAACTGGCAGCTGTACGCAATAAGCCATACCCAACTCTTCCAGTTCTGTTTTCTGCACAGGCAGTCTTCACTTTGGGGTGAAAATTCATCTTTTGGTAGGGTGTGGCATCGGGATGGAAAGCCTGGTAATATAAAGGAAATGTTTGAATAATATGGTAATCTCAATTTGATAAATAAAAAGTTTCATTGTCCTGAATCAATTTGAACCTTAAAATAAACAGACTTTGATTAACTGATGTACATTTAGATTTAAACTGCTACTATATCTTAGTAGCAGATCTTGGCCACTGTATTTGATATGTTACCTGGTAGTATTTAGAGATAACCTTATCTTGGCCACTGTGTTTGATATGTTACCTGGGTGTATTCACAGAGAACCCAGTCCTTGGGGACTGTTTGATATGTTACCTGGGTGTATTCAGAGACAACATTGTCCATGGGGACTGTTTGATATGTTACCTGGGTGTATTCACAGAGAACACAGTCCATGGGGACTGTTTGATATGTTACCTGGGAGTATTCACAGAGAACCCAGTCCATGGGGACTGTTTGATATGTTACCTGGGTGTATTCAGAGACAACCCTGTCCTTGGGGACTGTTTGATATGTTACCTGGGTGTATTCAGAGACAACATTGTCCATGGGGACTGTTTGATATGTTAACTGGTAGTATTTAGAGACAACCTTATCTTGGCCACTGTGTTTGATTTGTTACCTGGGCGTTTTCAGAGACAACCATATCCTTGGGGACTGTTTGATATGTTACCTGGGGGTATTCAGAGACAACATTGTCCATGGGGCCTGTTCGATATGTTAACTGGTAGTATTTAGAGACAACCTTATCTTGGCCACTGTGTTTGATATGTTACCTGGGTGTTTTCAGAGACAACCATATCCTTGGGGACTGTTTGATATGTTACCACATGGTATTTTGAGACAACCCAATCCTTGGACACTGTGTTTGATAGGTTACCTGGGGGTTTCAGAGGCAATCCTTTCCTTGGCAATAATTTGATTTGTTACCTGGGGGTATTTTGAGACAACCCGATCCTTGGCCACTGTGTTTGAGAGTATGGTTCTTCCAGCAGACATGATGACAGGAGTTGATGTCAAACTGAATTCAACAGGTAGTTTGTAAGCTCTTCAGATCCCACACCAATCTACAAAATCAATCACAGCTCAAAATCTGGTCTGCAATGAGTAAACTACTAATATTTCCGGGCTTTTCAGTAACTTCTATTTGAACAGAATAAATTAACGTTTTTAACCAGCCAACTTGTAAAATTACATATCAGATATGTAAGAATGTGAAAAGGTGATTTGAACCAGCCAAAATCGGAACTGAACCAGTCATTTTGGCCTGCTGCCTGTTTTTTCCCAGCTATCCATCGCTCAGATATTGTATGCTAAATGTCAAAATACCTTGATAAAATGTGGATCTTGAAGTATGTTCATTTTTGTAGATCTTGATTTATTTCAGTCTTAACTTTTTGGTTTCTACTTTTTAAGAATATGAGTGATATATTCAACATTTTGAAAAACAAATTAGGTCAAAAATGTCACTTTTAGCAGTGTTTTTTTTTGGCCTAGTGTGCCAATTCCTGACAAGTCATAGATAAATATTTTTTCAGATACATTCTTCAGGTTCACATGTTACATATTGTGCTCTTATTTTGAAAATGACTTGATAGTGCATTTTGAAGAAAGATAACCAGATACCAAAAAGTTAAAACAGATTGAGATGTATATATGTTTATAGTGAGTATACCCTCAATATTTCATCCTCACTTCATTTGGCATATCCTTTTATACTATTTATTTTCATATGTTCAATTTTTCCATTTGTACTTATCAATTTTATGATCAACCATCCTTATGTGTCTCCAAACTCCTCTACATCTCAGGATATGTTGTCACAATTTTAGTCATCACACCAATGTTTTGTAATGTGTGACCGGGAACCTATTCAGCCACTGACCACACTAATTGGTGAATCAGTGAGCACATCCCAGGGTTAAAACTGCATCACTAGAAAAACTTTGTCTGTAAGGCAGTATTTTTCATATAATATGCATGACAAAGCTAACAATAGACCACAGGGGTTCGTTACAAATGTAAAAGATGTGGATTAATTAGGTTGCTTTACAGCACAGCGGTAGAGCGTCGGACTGGAGAGCCAAGGTCGCGGGTTCGAGCCCCAGTGACGGCACTATCTGTGTATTACTATTCCTCGTCCTATTACACATTGGTGCCGTTGACCCTCCCCGTTCAAGGTAGGAGAACTCTATATGCTACATACTGATATGGGCCACAGCACACACATAAGTGTAAGCTTATATGTACTGTGATCCATAATCAGTACTGTATAGCATGTGTATTTTAGACATATGACATGTAACGAATCCCTGTGTTAGAACTGAGGCAGAAGCCCCAGTTTATCTGAATAACTATGAAATATCGTGCTAACAAACGCTATCCACATTCTTAGACTTGCCTTGCTCGAAATCGATTGGTGATTATGTACGTTTTTAAATCTGTTTGGTTATTTCATCCCAGTATTTGTTTCCAAGTCATGACTGAATGTCGAAGTGTTTATCACACACTGGAGGCAATTTTAGCGGAAGTGAAACTATGCACGCAATATCTGCGTCAATGGAAGCTTTATAATTATGAAACCACGCTCATTTAAAAAAGCGTTTGGTGGATCCTGTAAATTTTAAGGGCAGCGGAAGTTAAATATTTGCACATGCGTACAAGGCAAAATACGACTTTACAAACCACGTGGAAACCCCAAATCCGTCCTTTTTCAACATGGCTCCCAAAAAGAAGGCAACAGTAGAAAGTATGCGACATAAAAATATCAAATAAATGCTTTGGCTCAGTTAAAAGCTTACTTTTTTTGATATGTATACATTTCTGAATGCACTGTTATGTTAGAAAATATGTATTTATGCTATATAAGTTCTGGTAGACTCGATAATTATTGTATACATTAATTTGCCTGTGCGATAGACTGTTTTGACATAGATTGTACATGATAGTATTCTTGTAACGTCTGTGTATTTCACGTGCTATATTTCGGGCCCAGGACACTGCCGATTGAGCTATATTCATCTATAAATTATAGCTGTAGTGTATTGAGCTATATTTTCGCAGATTTCAATTTTCATTGAATTAAAGCAAAGTCGCATGAAACAATAAGGTTTATGGTAATGTAGACTACAAAAAGCATACATTTAGATGTCTTCACTTTTCATAAATGTAAAAAAAAATTTTTTACATCATTATTTTTTAATAAGAATACTTCTATACTTATAAACCTAATGACATTTTTTTTTAAAACGCGAAATTAATTCGTTTTCCTTAAAAAGAAAATCACATGAAAATAGTTCAAAAGACCTATTTCAGATAGGTCAATAGAGCATTTATAGGTCTTTGGTTACAGCTGTATAGCTCAATCGGCACAGTGTACTGGACATGCTACTTTACACTACCCGGCCCATTAATTACCTTGAAGATTCAGTTTTTATTAAAGCCATAATTTGAAATTTTATACAAAACTTGTTGACACGACATGGATTCTACGTGTGTTATACTGGAATCAACAAGAATGTATCGATACGACAAACTGTTGAATTTTCAACCCTTTGTGCCCATTTATTATCAAGCTGTAAATAGTAAGAGTTAATTATTGCTGGCTTTAAGCTGTTAATATTATTTCAAGCAGGAAACATTTGTCAGAGATATGAGGGTTACATTTTTGGATGTCAATATTTTCCTTTGAATGTGAAAAATTGGACTGATGTGGATAGGATTTTTCGTTTTGGTGTTGAAATAGGCTTCTCACAGTACACCAATTGTTCCATATGATATCTTATTCTCCTGTCCCTGTGATATCAGTTAAAAATAGTCTTGCTCAACAAGAGTTGAAAAAGAGCATGTTTAAAAAAGGAGGTGTGCATAGCTCTATCACAGTTCAGACCATGTCTTTAAAAACATCTGAAATGTTTTGCTCTTTTTTCAGAGGGCAGCAAGAAAGATGCTGCCAAAGCAAAGGAGTCCAACACAGCTTCGGGCAAGGCTAAGCAAAAGGCACAGAAGGCCAAGAAATCGCAGCTAAGAGGCGTACATGACAAGCGTAATCGTAAGGTCCGCACATCAGTACATTTCAGGCGACCCAAGACCCTCAAACTACCAAGGGAGCCCAAATATCCTAGGAAAAGTGTGCCCAAGACAGCGACGTAAGATTTTTTTCACTCTTTTTTTTAAGGATATGGAAATTGATGCAAATTGAAAAATAAAAATAATGAATTATGGTTTAGTCTGGTTCTATAGGGTTTAACATCCTATCAACAGCTAAGGTCATTTAATTGTGATGTATCACTATGGTGTGTATGCATGCATGTATGTAATAATGATTTTCTTCCAGTGTAGTTGAAATTGAGCATAATGCAATAAAGCAAATATTATGATTGAAATTCACTTTTTAAATGCACTGTGAAATAATTTCTGAGTTCCATTGCTTTTGATTTTTCAGGTTAGACAAATACAGAATTGTCAAATACCCATTAACAACCGAGTCGGCCATGAAAAAGATTGAGGATAACAACACCTTGGTCTTTGTTGTGGACAAAAGGGCCAACAAACCCCAGGTCAAACTGGCTGTGAAGAAACTTTACGACATTGATGTTGCTAAAGTCAACACTTTGGTCAGGTAAAATCAATCATACTTATATCTGGAGTATATTACCTTTTCTACATTGCAAAAGGCCAACTAAAATTTTGTTTTCTACTTCTGTAGGACATGGCTTGAAAAGTACTTGAATTTAGAGCGGGGTCTTCAAACTCTTTGAAAACGGTTTTTGGCCTTGAAACTCTTTGAATTTAGCCAAAGGGTCTTGAAAAGACCTTGATTATTACAAATTTAACAATTTCGAATGTTTATTGTGTCTGAAATAGAAGAGAGAAAAAATCGCAAACTTAATGCTTTCATTTTGATTATTGGCGTCATTGGGTTAAACAAAATTGGGTTCCGATCCAGGCTTTAGTCGTCACCACTGCGTGAGTGAAGGGAGATAATTCAATCTGCGCAGTGTATATACATCCGTCTGTTGATTCCACGTGGGCGAGTCATGATCATAAACAGGAAGTGGGAGGGGACTTAACTGGGCCAGGGAAGTTTAATGTGACTTTAAAGCTCAATGTTCGTTGTTCAAAAAATATTGATCTCGGAAGAATGGGACTGGGAGATTCGGCATTGAAAAGTCACGCAAAAGGTGTGAAACATCGACACGCTCAGGGCGTCATATTTAAAAAAAACAATATTACTTAGCATGAAAGTTGAGAAAACTGAATGGGGCTGAATTGGAGGAGAATATTAACAATCTTGAGAAAAAAACTATGACAGGACCAAGAACCGCTGTAAAAATCAGCAGATGCGTTTGCCCTTAGGGCGGAGACAGGGTAATCTTACCCACTTGTCCGATGTTAATTCTCTTCGCAAGAGTGCAAAAGAATAAGTTAAACAGTGCAAAAGAAGAGAAAGTAAATGCTCTAAAGGACTGTTGATCTAGAGAACGCAAAACAAAGCATTATTAAAACTTCTGAATTTATTTATTGGTTATGTTGTATGTGTCTGAAGTCATAGACTGTAGATTCAAATTTTGTATGTACAAAGACCTAATATTTCTTTTTAAAATTGCCTTGAAAAGTCCTTGAATTTTATTTGAAAAAGTTTGTATGAACCATGTAGGATTATAAGTGTTGTTAGGTAGACAACACATTTTATTTTTTGAAAAATCAGCATCAATCATGAACAACATGAATGATTGATTGAGTGGATATGTTGATCCCATTCATCAAAATTATAAAAATTCTTGAGAATACACTTAAAGGATTTTGAATAAGTGGATTCTACAAACTAGATTTGGTCAAAATAAGTTTCATAATTATGCCTCAAAAATGATTTGGATAGGAATGATTTATTCCAGGTAAGTAGGGGAAAAAGTAACATTTTCAGTTGGCCTAAACATAATATGAATTTGTAGTATTGATGACTGAGCTATTTCACAGATACAGGAAGGAATATATTAAACAGTCAAGTGTACCAACGAGTGTTGAATAATCTAAAAGATTTTGCTTTAGTTGAAGACTAATCATGGAAAATTTTGTCTTAATCATCATCTTAAAAGTTTTTAAGTCTTTAATCATTGTCAAAAAAATTATAACATTACAAGAAATTTATTTGTCATTTAATAGCCAGGTATAACAGGGAAAATAGCATGCATAGCCATTGTAGAAAAATTATTGGAGTGACGAAGAAGAATGAATTGTACATAACACTAATCTTTGTGTTAATCTTTACACATTTGTTTTGATGCTTAAACATGTATTCTGAAACAAATAATTAAAAAGCACCCACCTGCAGGATCATGTGATTTTCTGTGTCTTTCAATATGTGATGGTTTAATTAATAAATTATGGTGGTTGCTATATTGAAATGTTTCTTTTGTAGGCCTGATGGTGAGAAGAAGGCTTATGTACGACTAGCCCCCGACTATGATGCTCTTGATGTTGCTAACAAAGTAGGTGGTATATTCTGCCCGTAAAGCATGATGACAAATGTTGTTTGTGTCTCAGGACTTGTGGATATATTTAAACTTTTCCTTCTGACATTGAAGGTTGCAATATTAAATGTGCATAAATAGTGTAATGACATCATCACTAATCACTGAATGGAGATATTATTTTACTACTTCTGTGATACTCACTATATTTTGATACTAGTAAGAACTTGTGCGACAACCTTTTACATTTATTTTTTAATGTAAATTTGATACCATTTTGTACTTTGATATAATTCTGATTCCATAGTCTTTTAGTTTGTTTTGCTACTTTGTATATGTTAGTTATGTCCAGTTATTAAAGCATTGTTGATTTTTTTTTATAAAATCGCTAACTCCCATAGGGACCCTCCATGCTTAAAGGTATCGATAAAAGTAATATTGAAGGTGATGACAGTAATAAGTGATGGATCTTGCATGCAAGAAAAACCTATCAAACTTATACGAGTTGTTAGGTAGGGTATACTGGTTCACAACTTTTAACTCGCCATTGGAGTGTCACATTTGCTTCTCATAAACAGTTTTGCCTCTTTGTTAGTGTATAAAGGTAGATTGATTGTGTATGTAGGCTTTAACATGTCTTACTAACTTTACCTATCTGTTGTGGCGGCTTTGATTTTAATTGATTCTGTTTTTCTGTTTTCAGATCGGAATCATCTAATCTGGGTGGATGTGTACATTTGTTATTTTATTGTAAGATAAATAAACTCACCTAAAGAACATCAGTATTCTGTGTTTTGTTTGCATCTACTAGAATTACTGCACACAGAAAAAAACACATTTTTGCACCAACTAGATTCCATGTCATTGTCACCAGTCCTTCATGTGCACTGTGGTAACTTTTGATAAAAAGTGATAATACATTTATTGTCATTTCATCTATTGATTATAGAATAGTGTTGTGCAACCTCAAAATATACAAAAGTAGGGAACGGGAAGAAACAACTTTTGAAATTTCAGCAAAATTTGGACTTGTTTCTGAAAAATTGCATCAGAAAACTTGAATGGTCA